TGAACAGTGAAGAGTGGATGGACAAGGAACAGAGAATATCTAGCATAGGACATGCATGAGCTGGTTCTATCCAGGCTGGCAGAGAGAACAACAAATTCAATTGTTCTGAGGTCCGAATATGCCTGGAGTGTTTGAGGAGCTTCAAGGAGGCGGATGTGGCTGGAACAGAGTGAAACGAGGAGGAATTGCTTTTGAAGATTGAGAAGATATTCTTGGCTTTGGCAGTGCCTTAAGTAAAAACTCTTATGCAGTATATGAGTCCAGCCATTGCCACCTGGGATGTCACAATTAATAGAACTTTTGACTTGCTGGGGTGGAGCATCAACACAATTTTATTACATCCTCCTTCATTTTTAAATTGCCAACTGCTGTGCATAGACATGGCAGGGCAGGAGGGATAGGGAGGTTCATAACTCTAGCTAGAATGGCTTCCCTCTGCTCAGCTCCAACTGATCAAGGGCAGGGGACCAGAAAGTGGTAGACATTGGTAGACATTGAAGCAGTGGCCCACACCAACTCACTGTATAGCTGTTTTCAAACAAATGAGCTAAGACTCCCATGGAATAACGTGGGAAGGAAATAGTGTAGGGAGGCAGGGCGTGGGGCCTAAACTTGCTCTATATATTTAATGATTGATTGCCATGAATAGCTTTGTGTCCCCAGTAACTCTTGCCTGTTACTTTCTGGTCAAGGAGCAATCATTTCTCTGGCATTCCCCTTGATTCATTCCTCTTACTCTGACCAGGTATTTCTTCTCCATTTTAAGAAACACACAGAAACTTGGAACAGTTCTCTCTATCAGTGGCTGTTTAAACCTTTTTTCTTTTGTGTGCACAAATGTCTTCTGCACATGTGTGTGTTTCCTACCTCCTTGTAGACAGTGAACTGCTCAAGAAAGAGGCAATGCTGCAGACTAGGATCTACCCACTGTTTTTGGTGCCAGGTCTAGAGGCCACTGAGTTCTTAAAAGGAAGTGACATATTTTGGATGCATCTTCTAGCAAGTCAGTATCAGTAGGCTGAACACAGTGACTGGGAAATGATTTGTGACAGAGGTCAGGACTAGACTGTACATGGAGGATAAATAGAATTTTGGTAAAGGGGAGGAGAAGGTGTTCTCAGACAGTGAGGTAGAATAGATAGAGCAAAGGCTCGTAATTGGGAAGGATTGTGATTTATTGGAATAAAAGTGTGTGGATTGAGCACAGGCAATGTGTTAATGAGATGCTGGGGGGTGAGGATGGAAGGGATGTTAGGGCTTTTCTACTCCCCTTCCTAGTAAGTGGAGGACTTTGGGTCAGGATTGGGGCTGAGGCTTGACTAGGACTAAACTGGGGATGGTCCATGATGGCAGCATATACCAAGAGGGCAACCCAAGTTGGTGTCCTCTGCAGAAGAAAAGCAGAGAACCAAAGAGGTGGTGTGGACAAATATGTGATCAAATGAGCTCTAATGCAAGCTCTATCCATGGGACTATATGAAGAGGCCTCTGATCTTAGGGGGAAGGGAGAAATCTGGTCTTGAAGTGAAGAGGAGATGGGTGAGGTGGGGAAGTAGAGGATAAGATTCAGGGGTCCATTTGGAAGGACAAATGGGAGCCAGAGCCAGAGCAGGTCTCCGGGGCTGTGATGTCAGCCTGGGACTTCCTTTCATAGAAGTCTATGACTTTGCCTATGGGTAGTGAACAAGTGGCTGTTGAAGGCTCCTGGCCATGTATGGCCCTGAATGCCAGGCTAAACGGTTTGATCATGAAACTAATCTCCATCAAGCCATTCACAGGCTCCAAATCTCCATCAAGACAGGATTTCAGGTAGCCTTGCTAATCAGTCTGATCTGATATATGAACCACGTGCCCAGGCTGTGTTAGCCACTGTGAAGGACTCAAGAATGGACGTCTCACCTCTTACCTTTTAGATTTTGAGTGCATTTCCTCATTCTCATCTCACATTCAGTCTCTGGTTAGGGGCTTTGCCTGAACCTCTTACTTAACTCCCTTCAGATATATTAAGTCCTATGACTTGTATGCATACGGTTTGGAAAGCTGTTCTTGTCCCTTTCCTATTCCTGTGTGAGCATTCACCTGCCTGTCATTAAAAGAGATAGGATGAAAGTATGACTCCTGGCTCTGTCTCTTCTATGTCATATCCTTGGGCAAATTACTATAACCTCACTGCACCCTTGTGATATAGATATTATGTCTGCATTGAACAGGGTTGGAAAAGGAGGGGTTGAGAGTAAACATAAGCAAATGTGCCTGACCCAGGGCCCAAAACATTGGAGCTCAATCTGTATCAGGAGAAAAGCAGGTGGCAAGGAGACTAATTGAAGCAGACACTGTACTTCCGTATGGACAAAAATAAAACAAACAAAAAGTCAAACCCAGCTCTATCAATCTAAACCAAATTAAAGCAAACCCAAACAAACAATAACAACAAAAACCCTTGCAGCCGAGCCCAGTCACTTTGCAGCCCTTTATTGTCCAACGAGACTAAGGGGGGCTTTTCCTGCTATTATCCTCCTCGTCCCCCTGCCACTGGGCAGAAGACCTTCTGTTCTCTGTAGCTAATCATTAATCAGCACTCACCTTCAAGCTCCTCTCCAATTCTCGGTTTCCCAATTATCCACAGAAATAATTCGGCTGAGTGATGAAAGCCCACATGTTTGCTAACAAAGGAAGGGACACTTCCACTTCAGTAGAAGTGAATATTCTGTGAAATGGCATGTAAACAGTCCCTGTGGCAATCTGTGACCTAAAGCCCCTCTGATTCTCAGTGAATCTCTGGTGTTAAATTATGTCAAGGGTTTCCGGAATCAGCCTCTAGCAGTTTCCTCTGAAAACACCTTCAACGGTTTATGGAGTCTAAGTAGATGGATCAGGGTAATAACAGTTCAAAGAGCCGATTGGAGCCTGGGATAATGAGCCAAGACTGGGGCCAGGACTCAGGGCTCAGTTTAAGTAGCAAGGGCCACGTAGATTAAATCTCCATTAGCACCACAGCGTTCGTGGTATGGAGAGAGGGCAGCCACCTCTGCCCCAGAAAATGTGCTCCCAAGAAGAGTTTCAGCGTCTACAGAGGCTCTGGGCTCCTCGCTTGATAGTTTCCTGGAAGGAAAAAGCCAGCCGTTCTTAACAAGCCTTGAAGAGTTTGCTGGGTGAGTGGAACACCGGAGTCACCTCTGAATAGTCCACCTGCAGCTCTGCCTTTTGTGATTCTGAGAAATGTTTTCTATAGATTAATAAAATTAATGATGAAATCCATGATTATTGCTTACCTTTATTGAATGTGTTGCACAGTGCATGGCATGTGGCAAGAACTTTATATATACTATTTTCGCGAATCCTTAAAAATGCTCTGTGCAGGAGGTACAATTTTTATCCATATGTTGCAGGTATTTTGGACTTGAAGAGCCTGAACTGAGTCTCAGGTAGGATGCTCATGCGCCCAGGGAAGGTATGGAGGTAGGATTCAAACCCTCGTCTGTCTGGCCCAAGTCTCTATTACTAGGTCTGTGATCCTAATTACTAGTTGACATTCTTTCCTTGTAGACAAAAGGAATTAATCCAACCACTGACTATGTAAAGCCATAGGGAGTCGTGTAACTGGGCCCTGACATAGCTAAGAACTTCACCATCTGTGTTGGCATTTGATGGAAAAAAATTCTAATAGATCACATTGACCTGGTGGGAAAGGTTCTGGGGCTTCAAATATACATTTTTGTGTCTCACTGCTCTGTACATGACTTTGTGTCTTTCAGGTATTGGGGAAAATTGTATCTGTTTTGATGCCCAATGTGTCCATTTATTTTACAACCACAATTATCCTGAAGTGGAAAAGATATGAAAACTCATTTACCCACATACTCCTTTCCTATGGTTGAGAAGGCATGTGTTGGCCAAGGCCATAGAGCTCAATGTGGGCAGGGTTAGAGCCAGAGCCAGCCTAGTCTGCTTAGATCTCCTAATACTATTTTTATGTTGGCAGATATCCTGCTCCTCTGAATTGGAATGGTCACTTACTGTATTATTTACTTTACTCTGGCAGCCTTAGAAAAAAATAATTTAAAATTTAGGAGATCCAGAGGGGTGTAGGGAAGGCAATGTGGTTGGTAGAAGGAAACTTAGAATGAAATGTTTGCTCCTTTTTTCCTTCATCCTTTCATTTATTTATTCAACCAACAAATACTGATTATAGAACCAGTTCTAGTGCTAGTTGCACCACTTATGTTGAGCTTCTGTTCCTCACCTGATAAATGAGAATGTTGAAATGCATCTGATAATTTAAATAATGGAAAAACTTGATCTCATTGATAATCATAGAAATGCAATTTTATTCACTACTGAGTCACTATTTTTGTTTTTACTTATTAAAACAACAACATATTAAAAGGTAATGCCTAGCACTAAGGAGGATATGATAAAAAAAAAAGCAGTTTCAAGTATATGGGGGCTGTCCGGAAAGTATCCAGCCATGTAACTGTTCTCATTATATTAACAATGGCTGGATACTTTCCAGACAGCCCCCGTATATTGGTATACATTTTTTGGAAAGGCATGTAATGGGTTAATAAAAGTCACAAGTGATGGATGCACTGAAGACTCTGACTTTACCACATTGCAAAATATCGATGCAACACAATTATCCTTGTACCCCCTGAACATATACAAATAAAAATAATTAAAAAAAAATAAAAAATAAAATCTATGCTCTGTTCTTTGACCCAGCAATTCCATTTTTGGGAATCAATTCTAAGTATAGTCTAAGAAAGGATCCATGTATACAAAGATGTTCAATGATACTTTTAATGTTAGATGAAACATGGAAGCAATCTAACTGCTAAATCAAATGGATAATAGTTAAATAAATTAAGGTCTATACACCCAGTGAAATGTTATGTAGCCAACAGAGAAAATGACTATCATGAGGTTTCTATGGTAACATGGAAAGTGTTTACTATAATGTTAATTAAAAAAAGAAAATATTCATTATTATCATGCCGGTGATGAGAGAGCTTTGTAGGAGAAAATAATAAAATGCTTAAAAGTGAGATAAGGTGGATTAACAGGTTGTTTTCTATTTCTTGTTTTCCAAGGTTTATGAAATATGTTTATGTTACCGTTTTCCTTGGAGGCAGGACAGTGTTAAGAACCAGGCCACGGTGTCAGACAGACCAAATTTGAATCCCAGCATTGCCACTCACAAGCAGTGTGATTGCAGAGAGTTTCCTTCTCTGTAAAATTGGAATAATAACTGGATACATTTCATAAGGTGGATGTGAAGTTTTAAGATAATGGATGGTGAGTGGTGTTATAGTGCCTGATTGGTTGAAATATGTTAATGAATATTAATTATTCTTATTTTTATGAGGAATCTGAATGTATTCTGGACATTAATGACAGAAGAAGTGAACCAAATGACATCTAAGGATCTTTCTTATTCTAAGTTTTAATACTTTTCATTTTAAACATGGTGTATCAGTAGATCTTTCATGACAGAGATGTATTTGTAGATTGATATAGCACCCAAATGTTGTGTCAAAATGATAGTTTTCAAAATATGTTTTCCTTGAGGAATAAAATGAAATTAATTCTATATATTTGTAATTTGAACTGGTTCCTTCTTGGGGATATGAGGGACCATATAAAGTTTTATATTTGGGGGATTTGGGAAGCTATTAGGTTAGGAATGGGTCACTTCCCTCACTTTCTTCATCTCATAGCTGCCCTTCGTTCTATGCAAAAATAAAGAGATGGGCCATTATTTATACACTTGGGAGCAATAATGAATCTTTATGATGGTATTTGTCTAGAACAGTCCCAAATCTTACATTTCCCATAGATTTTGATGTGTGGGGAATTTGAATGATCATTTTCTTGGTACAAGAAGATTTACAATGTCTCCTATATATCTCTAGGAACAGATGTGTATAGGTGTCCTGGGAGTGAAATGGTTCTTTCAGAATGACTTTTGGATGATACATGTGTAAGCGAATCAGACAGATATGGATTAAATGTCCCCCCTGACACAAAACAAATTGACCGGACATATGACGGGTTTTGCCAACCCCCAGCATTTAATATCCCCCAATGACATTCAGTTGCTGACTTCCAGCTAAGAGTTTTGAAAGGTGGAATTTTTGTTTGGAAATGTTTTAGTGGAGCAAGGAGCAAGGTGGAAAGGCAAGGAGTAAGCTCTAAGGCAAAGAGAAGCTTCTGGACCTCTTCTTATAGCCATGTAAATATCGTGCAAAAAAAGAAAAAGAAAAGGAAAAAAGAGGACTTAGAAAAAAATCCTGAATTATATATGGCAATTTCCCTCAGTTCTGGTAGGATAGCATGAAGGATACCCAGCTGCTTTAAGACCAAGGGCAAAGACCAAGTCAGACTGTCCAGAGGAACTTGAGAAGGAACCCTCACGCTCTATAAATGGAGTAAGTCCATTATTAAATTTCATGAGATTTTTTTCATCATGGGAATTCCTCTCTGTTTTAAGCATTGCAACATTCTTGCTTGGTTGCATTATATGTTCTGTGGGTCTGCCCTTGAATAGATGCTTCAATTTATGTGAGAGAGTCCTTCAAACTCTCTTGCTTACTTGTAACCAAGTTGCAGAATTACCAAACAGTGGTGGCCACTCCTCTGTGTTGTATCTCTGGAGTTTCACTCAACTGTGTAGTTGATTCACTCGGAGTGGTATTTGAGCATCCCATCTAGGCACTCACAGGCCTTGTGACTTCATCAGATTTGATCAGGGAAAGTTTGGAGACAGGCCAAGGGAAGTGCTTCCTCAAGGTGGTGGTGAAGAAGATGTGTCAGACCTCCTCCTTCAGACTGATAACACTTGATTCTGGATTGAGTATTTATGAGTGTCTTTGAAGCTTGGGTAATATTTTTAAACATGTTGCAGGTGTGAGACTCAACATCACCTGTTTGGATAAATACTCATTATCACCTTTGAGCTGTATCCATTTCCAGACACCTTCCTGAAGTCTTAGCCTGCAGCACCCAGCAGGGTAATAGAAGTCTAAGAACTCAGGAGTAACTCCTGAGTTTTCTGCTCTAATGTGCTCAGGCTTGACCAAGGAATGGTATTTATGCATATGCCAGTGGTAGGACTTAGAGGGTTGGGGACACAAGCATACAAAGTAAGTTTCTTTGTTCTATATTTTGCTTCTAATGCTGGACAGAGACCATGTCAAAGTCCTCTGGAGACAAAACTATCCCTTCCACTGTCCCTGGCAAAGAGTCTCAACCTGTTTCTCCAGATTTATACCACTCAGCAGCATTTGGAGACAATGGCATTGTAAATGTGAATGGACTCCTTTTAAAACATCCTGGGTCAGGTGCCTCTGGTATTGAGTTGGTCATGGGGTCTTCTTTGATTCTTGGCTCTAGTACTGGACCAAACATCTTTGGCATCTATTCATTGGAAGAACGTAAACACCTTGTTATCATAAATTGGCAAATGTGGAATTAACAGCATCCTTTTAGCCCTTTGTAAACATATTCCCTGGTTGTCCCAATCTGAGTGTGATTGGGAATTAGATGGCTTTTCCTTCAATGTCTCCGACCAGGAAAACCATCCTTACATTAAATTGGTCTACTGATCTCGGATGACATAGAGAGACATCTGCTGCTTCGGTAGGGATTAGAGGATCTGACAGTGGCTGGCCTCTCCAATCACGGTGCTGTGCTGAATTCTCCCCAGCCTGATCTCACCAGATCCTATGGTCACCACTCCAGAATATGAGACGACGCTGAAACAGAGGGGAGCACGGTGCCCAAAGGAAACTCTCTTCTCATTCCAAAGACTCAACTTTCTTGGGCCAGGCTGATGCCTTTTTGATTGTCTATCTTGGCGGAATCTATCCTATTCTCTGATGAGGGATACAAAAGCTGGGAAAAGAACCAAGAAAATATCCTCTTATCTCCACTATTATTTTTCAGGGAGGCTTTAGTGTGCCCACAATAGAATGGAGCTGAGTTCTGATGCAGGAAGCAGATTGCACTAAGGATTTGCAGATAGATCAAAGGGTGGAAGATGAGCTGATGTTGCCCAGGGAACCAACTTTCAAAAGGAAGATTCCCTTAGTATTTCTCCTTTTTGTCTTCATTTTAATGATGAGGGAGCCAGCCAGGGAAAGCTCATTTAGAGCTCTTTTTTCTCTGTATAATTTATCAGGGCATGGTTGGGTGGTTGTAGGGTGGGGATATTCTAGTGATTGTATTGACCAAACCCCTACATTCAGCCTTATCTTGTATTTCATCCCACCAGCCTCAGTGATCTATCTTCCAGTTTGTAAACCGACTAGCAAACAATTCATAAGGGCAGAGCGATGTGAGAGGCACAAATCCTCATGTAACACATAAATAACCCATGAGAAATGACATTTCAAGAGCAGTATAGTCCTTTGTAAATCTGGTTGTGAAGGTTTTTAAAGCTAAACACATTATATACTGGCTGTGTTACATTGGGTCTTTATATCTCATTGAACACAACTCACATGCAATTTTCCCCAAATAGTCAATGATTAGAATGTCTGATTTTATGAAACTCATAAAATGTTAATACAACATGGTGTTTATATTGCCCTGGGATCAGAGGGGGCTCCTTTGGAGTCCTGACTTTGCCACTTATCGGCTGTGTGATCTTGAGTGAGTTACCTCAATTTGCTTTCTGTAAAATGAAGGCAATCTTTATAACCCCTCATGGAACAGACAGAGTAGGCACTGTTGATAAGTAAAATAGTGCCTGCAAGCATTTAGTTTCATGCTTAGCCCAGTCAATGTCAATTTATGTTAAATAAGCAATTAGTAAATTCCTACTGAATGCAAGACTTTGTGTCAGGAACAAAACTAACCTCTCTGGGGTATCAATGTCTATCTTGACAAAAATATTAAAAGGCTTTTGTTGCCATTGTTAACCTGTGCAGCCAGGGAAGCAGAAAACTAGACAAAAGCCTTTTAATATTTTTAACAAATTCCATCTACATTTGTGAACAAAGAAAGTTCTATGCAAGCAATTTCTCCAACATCTGTGAAAGTTTGGAGTTCATTGAATATTCCTTGGATGCCCTTCCAAATGACTAATTTTGGTGTCAGAATTAGTGTTTATTTCTGGTGGCATGAAGCTCTACACCCGACTGCCATTCATAGGTACATCTGTCTCCCTCTTCTTTGCACCCGCCCATTCTCTTCTTAGCGATGCTTGCATTAAGATAATGCTTTTTGCAAAATTGGACTCATAATAGATGATGGAGTGAGAGACGGGCCACAAAAATGAAATTAGGCTGATTCTTCATACATTCGAGTGCTAGCTGCTGCCTCAAATGGTAAATTACAAAAAAAGAAAGAGTACCCTGAAGAGTTGAATGGATTTCCTTCCTCAAATTGCTAAACAGTTGCCTGAATGAGGGTGATTTTCCTAGTGCTAAAACTGTTCCCTGGGGGTAATTTTAGGTATCCCGGGAAGCTGCATTAACTACTTTTTGCCACTGGACAGCCATTGCTAAGTAGGCATTTCTGCGATCACATGACTGTAAAGTGGTGCTCTGCCAGGAATGGTTAGCAAAGATCTTGGTGGAATGAAGGCCTGGGAAGTTTTACTGGAAGGAATGTTCTGACTACAATATATGATTCTCTTGAAAATGAACATAAAGCTTGTAGGTAAGGAATGGTTTGGTGCTGCTGCTGCTGGTCTTTAAATGCCCCTGCTGGAAAATCAGGCTCTCTGGATTTGAAAGATGTTTTGTGAACATTAACACATTGGTTGTTCACAACAACACTGTCAAATTGGGGTGGGTGTGGGAATTTAGGATGTTGCTTTACAAGCGAAAGGAGGTAAGACTTTATGGGAAGTGGCTAATTTATTAATAGAATCAAGAAAACCTAAGCACTGATTGGGCTTGGCTACTTCCTACTCACGTGTCCTTAAGGAATTCATTTTCCCTCTTTGGGCCTCAGTTCTGTTGCTTGTGAAGCAGGGGGAGTGGATTAGATTAGGGGTGGCACATTCTTGGCAAGTATGCCAGCTCCATCTCAACCTGCATGCTTAGTGGACATTGCTCACTGATTGGTCAGGGCGTATTTTCCCGTGGAGCATCAGAACTCTCAGAATAACTTCACTTCTGTCCACAGGCCAACCACAGTGCTGACCTACCAGTGCAGGCACATGTGATGGGATCAAGGAAGGTTCTGCGAGATGCTGAAATGAGACACAGAATGCAGTTGGTCCATATTCAGGTAATTAATGGGTTGGATTTTTCCACCTTTACAACTGAGTTCTAACATGCACCCTGCCACCAGGGGCAAAGTGACGTAGTGGGAAAGAGGGTGGACCCTGTGTTCATATCCTAGCTTTATATCTTATTAGCTGGGTCATTTAGCTTCTCTGTTCCTCTGTTTTTACCTCATTGGATAGTTGTGAGATTTAGGTTTAGGATGGTTGTGAGGTTTAGCTAAAAGACTTAACACAGTGACTGTGATATCTCAAAGTGCTTAGTTAATGTTAACTATGAATATCCAACTCTTGTTTCTGGTGGAGCAGTTAATGAAGAAATCATTAGCTCAGATAATTGCAACCCCTTCCAAAGTCCTCCAGCATGGCTAACAACCTTGCATCCCAGAAGCTCCGCTCAAAAATTGGCTCTCACAGCACCATGAGCTTTCATTAGTGGCTATTAATTGACAAGATCCTAGAAAATGCTTTTGGTTTATTTTTTGGAAAGCAAACTTTTGGTGTAGCCTATGTTAATTTGTATAACTAACCCCCCCCCCCAAATCCTGCGTTTTATTTACATTCAAGGCTAGCATCTGTAATTTTTACCCTGAAACATGAAGCAGTCAACATTTAATACTAGAACAGTGACTTGCATTTTGGGAGACTGGGTGGCCTTCTGCCTGTATGATCCTTCATCATTCTGACATAGTTCTTTCTACTTTTTCTCTCAACTTGAGATGGGAACCAAGATGGTAAGAAAAAGAAAAAGCAGAATATCTGTTTCTTGTGGTTCTAAAGTTCTTACCCTAATTTCTTGCCTATTAAAAAGAGTTTGTACTTATATACCTGGTCACATTACTGGTCAAAAACTATTTGTGAGCTGTCTTCACAGGCCTTGTTTAAGGGACATTCTGAGAACACCTGTCAGTGAGTTTGGGCATTTCCATCCCATAGGCACAGACTTTACTGTAGAGAAACAAAGATGGGGACACAAAGCAGGTGATGAGACCTATACCTGCCCTCCTGCTCACAGTGAGCCAGACCTCAAGGGTTCTGGACATTTCCTGGTGCTCAGCACATGCATGTCAGACATACATTTGAAATTACAGAGATGCCACCTGTTGCCTAGGGGAAGCTAACATCTTCCATGGCAAAGGGCTCACACTGGAGGCACCATTCATAGGTGGGGAAATGCAGGATAGGGTGTAGTGCTCAATCCATAAGGGAAGAATCTTCTATGGAGAGTCTTTGACTCTTTACTGCAGGTCCTTCAGTGGGAAGCCCAGAGGGGTCCCCCAATCCTGAAAGTTATTCCCAAAGATGTACTTGCCCACCCACTGAGCCTTGGTTGCCCTACTTCGCCCAAGCTCCTGCCCCTCAGGTTCCTGCCGCCTTTATGAAACATGACTAAGGTTGTCCTGAACAAAACATCCTGTGGATAGGGTAATGAGAGAGGGCACAGAACAGTGGGGATTTTGTTTTTTGGAGATTTTCTTGGTATGTTTGTTTTCAAGCAAGAGCCATGTTATGCTTATTGGTGGGTGGAGTAGTTCCACAGAGACTTGTTTGCTTTTCCCATGAGGAAAAGTGAAATTCCTGACATCTTTACCCCAGAACTTGTGCAATTTTTGTTCATTTACCATGTAACTTCTTTTTCCATAACTCTAAATTTTTTTTACCTTGGGTGTAGTTCCTGATAGTTGACACCTCCTATGGCACATGCTTGATTTGGGGTCCTTATTGTTTTGGTTTAGAGATGATCACTGAGATTTCTACTTACATCCTCCCATCTGTCCTTCTGCCAATCTAAACTATTTATTTTCTAACCCTGCACTTACCAAATAGCTTTACATCTACTCCATGCATATTTGTTGAGTACCTACTATGTCCAAGGCATTATTTAAGTGTCGAGGATGCAGCAGAAAACAAAATAGAAAAACCAAAGGCAAAAAGCTTTTCCCTCCATTGTGGCCATTTGTAGAAAGAGGATGGATTCTCCATCAAACTTTGGTTGGGAAGTTGAGACTGATGGCAACATACACGTAGCAATAGGACACGAAAATGTTTATTATTCATACAAAGAGACTTTCTGGGAATAGCAGGAAAACTCCCAACCAGGTCAAAAATGAATTGAGAGAATCAGGAATGGAGACTGGCCAGGTTTCTTCTGGTGGGGAGAGGATGGAACTTGGGTACAGATCTCCATGCTCGGGTAGGGCCTTGTGTGAGTTGAACCTCCCATCAGCACCAAAGGAAGGAGCACCCAGGCTTTCTTATCTGGTTGCCCAGATGTGGAGCCAAAGGAGAGGGTAGGGTAGTTGGCAAACATCAAAACTTGGAGTCAGTCTCTGGCTTACATTCTTTTAAAATTTTTCTTTAGTGTTGTATAAAACATACACAGTGAGCGCACACATCTCAAGCATGCCTCTTATGAATTTTTAAATACATATAGATCCATGTAATCATAATCCAGAAGAGAAATAGGATGTTTTCAGCATGCATGTTGTTCCCTTGTGCCCCTTTCTAATCAATTCCCTCCACTCCAAAAAGTAAGCACTATTCTGACTTCTATCATCAAAGATTAATTTTTCCTATCCTTGCAATTTTTACAAATGGAATAACAGTATGTATGCAGTGGTGCCTTATACTTAAGTCAGGTGGCCATATGTGTGTATGAGGATCTGGGTCTGGACTTTTCTTCTGTTCTATCCTTGTACCAATTTGATATTGTCTTAATCACTGAAGCTTTACAGCAGTCTCAATATTCGGTAATGGAAGCCCTCCAATGCTGTTCTTCTTCAAGACTGCTTTTCCATCTTTTCCATATCCTTTGCATTTCAACAGAAACAGTTTAGCATCAGCTTCTCAGTTCACATGCATATGTGTGCACACACACACAGGCACACACGACCCCCATGGGCTTTCATTGGAATTGCATTACATCTACAGGTCAATAAAGGGAGAATTGACATCTTCCCATCCATGTTGATAATTTGAATCCATTAATATGGAACATTTTACCACTTATTTAAGTCTTTTACAATTTCTCTCAACACTGTTAGTTTTCACTCTGGAGAGCTTTTACCTCTATGATTAGATTTATTCTTATGTATTTGATGTTTTTTTAATACTATTAATATTATAAATACTTTAAAATTTTATTTTTCAATTATTTGAAGCTAATATGTAGATACAATTGATTTTTGCTATTAACCTTGAGTCTCGCAGCCTTAACAAATAATAGCTAGTATATCTTTTTCAATTTTTGATGTGTACAATATGTGGATAATAGCAATATTGCTTATTACTCTCTAATTTTTATGCATTTATTTTATTTTTCTTATTTTACAGTGTTGCTAGAAACCTACTGTAATGTCAAAAGATGTGGTCATGTGGACATCCTTTATTTCTAATCTCAGGGAGAGTTTTCTTCCATATTTTACTATTAAGTATGATATTGGCTATAGATTTTTTTTGGTAGCTATCTTTTAATAAATTTAAGAATTTTTTCTTTCTATTTCTATTTGCTAAAAGCTTTTTCCCTTAACCATGGGCAGGTGTTGTACTTTATCATATGCCTTTTCTGCCTCTGTTGCAAAGACCATATCATTTTTCTCCTTTATTCTGTTAATGTGGTGATTCACGTTGATTTATTTTCAAATATCAAAGTAATCTTATATTCCTGTGATGAACCCACTACATCATGATGTATTATACTTTTATATATTGTTGGATTCAATTTGCTTATATTTTGTTTAGAATTTTTATGCCTGTGTTTATGAGAGATATTTTCCTTGCTTATAATATCTTTGTCAGATTCTGTTATTGTGGTTTCTCTGGCCTCAGAAAACAAGTTGGAAAGAGCTCCTCTATTATTATTATTTTTTTGAGTTTGTATTCAGTTATCATTTCTTTCTTACATGTTTGGATTTACCCTCTTTATTACCACAAAACCCCTGTGCATGTCCACATTGTGAGAGATTCCTCTGTTTATCCCTTTTCCAGCTCATCACTTATTGAGGATGGGTTGCTTAAATACACCTGCTTTAGGGTCTGCTTGACATCTGCTTTGGGGTTGGAACTGACGGATTCGTTTTTGTTGGTGATCATTGTGCACATTTATTTAAAGCACTGTTATTTGTGGCTTTCTGATTTCTTTTTACAGATGTAAGAGTAGATCTCGTGCAATTGGTAAATAATAAATTTTATTGTCTTGAAATGTAAACATTGAGGAAGTGTTATTTATGAACAATTCAGCATTGGAAGTTGCAAGCCCCACTCACAATGGTCTAGACCCATCCCCCACTTCTGTCTTTACCTCCTACTACAGACACAGTTTTGTTCTGACCCATTTGAACTTTTTGTTCTTTCCTATGTTCATTCCTTGCCTTCCAGACATTATTTCCTTTGTATAGACAATATTCCTCTCCCTGACGGATGTTCCTTCAAACTATTACATTCTTGTCCTTCAAAATCTAGTTCAAATGGTACCTCTCTATCCTTAATCAAGCAGATAGAAATAACCTCTCCTTTTGAAAATCCTTTTACTTCTTCTTCACCTATAGGGGCTCTTCCCCCCCAACCTTTTTGTTTTCTTACTTTTAATTATAGTCTCTCTCTCTCTCTCTCTGCTTCATCTTTCTCCTCTCTCAACTTTTATATATCTGATGATAGAATTTGTATCTATTGACTTTTTTAAACTACAGAACCTAGGACAACGTGTTTTATATATTCTGTGCTCAAGAAATATTTATTGAATAATGAATAGAGCTTAGAATCAGGGAGGATAATAAAACATCGTTTCCATTTTTCCAGGTTTTTTGTAAAAAAAAATCAGTGACATGCAGGTGATTTAGACACTGTCAGTGGATAGAATTCCCAATAACCATGTGACCTAAGAAGTCATAACCATGATTAAGAAGTGATGAATTATGGCCATAACAAGGATTGTATTTTTCCTCAAGGCTCTTCCCAGAATTTTCTTCTCATGAACCCCAGGCCACTCAGAACTCTCTCTTCTTAG